GGATGTTTATAAAGCGGCTCTCTTGAGGCCGGCACTTGAGACGGTGGGGTCACATTAGCTCTCGCCCACCACACTCACAAGTGGAGGTCATGGTCACCCCGCTTTACAGGTGAAGAAAGCAGCTGAGCCACAGAGAGCCTGTGTTTTGGGTTTTGTTTTAAAGTTTTATTTCATTTCCACTTTCTAACGACCATAAGGAGCCCTGCTGGCTATCGTGGTCACGTCGGGCTTTTAACCATACAGTCAGCAGTTCGAACCTACCGGCCACTCCGTGGAAGAAAGGTGAGGCTTCCTAGTCCCGTCAAGAGTCACAGTCGCAGAAACCCACGGGGGCAGCTCTGCCCTGTCCTCCAGGGTCTGTGAGGCAGATTCGACCGGGTGGCTGGTTTTGAGTTCTGAGAGTCACAGGTAGCAAGGGGCGGAGCCAGGATTTCATATCACCTCTGCTTGGTCCTTAGCCCGACCCCTCACCACCACACCCATCATTTCTCAACCGCCCAGTGTCCCCGAGGCCACGTGCCCCACCCATCGCTCTCTGTCCTGGGCAAGTCACTGAGCCTCTCAGTGCCTCAGTTTCCTGTGTGAAGTGGGGGTGCTCCTGGCATCCCAAAGAGCCCTAGAGGGTAGTGGGGTAGACACCGAGCTGCTGTAAGGTCAGAAGTTTAAACCCCCAGCTGCTCAGAAGGAGAAAGGTGAGGCAAAGTGGGGGGCTGGACACCCCGTCCTCACCACCTCTAACCCCGTCTCTGCTGCCTTGGGGCAGATTTTGTTGTTTCCACCGAACGGAGGCCACTGGCTCCACAGCCCTCCCTGCCAGGCCTCTCCCAGCGACGTTTCCACTTGCTCTGGACCCTGGCTGGACTCCGAGGTCTCCTCCCCCTTCTCCTGACCCAGGGGAATATGCACACAGGAGTGGGCGTGGGTTAGGGGAAGAGGTGCCTGCTGAGACTGCCCAGAGCCCAGAATGTTGGCAGAAGAGGGCCGGGATGTCACAGCCCACCCCCTCCCAAGCATTTGGCAAGGGTAGAGCCCAGAGAAGGAAACGGGGTGGTGTGTGTGTGTGTGTGTGTGTGTGTGTGTATGTGTGTGTGTAG